GCAACAATAACCTACCAGTAAGATCAGCGCCCAGAGAGTCTTCACCATCACGCTGTTCCTCACTTTCCCTTAAAAAGCGAATGACTGAGATTGGTAAACAAACTTCATCCAGAATTAAATGTTATATCTGACGGCCAAAAAAAACTGAACAAATTCTTCAATGTTTTTTGACTGATCAATACTAAACGTAGACGATAAGATAATGCACATTTTCTCTGTAACCTTTATACAGTAAAAGCTTGTAATGTAGCAGTGTACATTTTTTATGTGTTTTTATTTTTTTCTCCCAAATAAGGAAATCGAGTTCCTCCGAGATTTACCAAACTTCTTCAATTCGCTTACGATTACGTTAATTCGAAAGTCGTTTAGGAGATAAAACCCTAGAGTGCGCAAGTATTGACTTGAGGATTAATCGCGCACGCCGGGGGTAAAAATGGAAGCGTAAAAACGGATTAAATGACAGCGTGCAACCTATTTAAGTTATACATTGTTATCATCATTCCCATTTTAACTAGCCCCTTCTGAACGAAGTTCGCCCATTAGATTCTTGCTCGCAAATTTGATGCCCAGACGAGCGACCGTACTGGTTTCGATGTTTTTTTTTTCACAGCACAATAAGTAGTAAACCGTACTCTTCTTCGCGTTCGCTCCCCTTGGTATTTCTTGCTGTGCTTTCAGAAGCTGAGCTCGGTGCTGCTTTCTCCTCTTCTGATGTCATGTCTCGTGGAGATGGTTCGACATCAGACGAGAACTCATCTTGCCAATCTGCTGAATAGACCGTGATACCAAGTTTACCTTTTCGACTGATATGTGAGACAACAAATCAGAATTCCCCAAATATAAACGCACAAAACAAGTGATACAATTGGGTGTTGACACGTACCTTCGTTACTAATGTGGTTTGCGAGATTGACATCCATCGTCGTACTCTGAGACATATGGGCACTAATAAGGTCGGATACACCTCGAATACTCGACGCATCGACCGAGGCAGCCATACCCATTCTATAACGCATTTTGGAGTCATCGAACTTGAACTAGTTAATGTGCTACACCTTTACCCAAAGGGTCCCTAAGCAATTACTTCTGAGCTGTATGCACATGTAGGTAAAGAAACGTTAATAAGACAGGCTCACTGCTAAAGAGCAGAGCTCTAACAGGCGTATAAAAAGAAAATGAATGAGTCACTAGGTTATCCGTGTGCTATGGGAAGCAACAGTGATATGAAGACTAGTGAAGAAATGGCTATTTCAATGAACCCAATGAACATAGGAGTTAGGCCTGTAGTTGTAATGCATGCTAATTACACAGGGATTCTCTGAAAAATTCGAAACCAAATGCAGATGTAGTGAAGGAGCAAGTCCGTAGAGCATGGAACAACCGATTGCCACATAAACTCACTGATACTGCACACCACAGGGCAAGTAGTAACTAGAAAGCATATTACTACTTATTGTTTTAAAGGAACATATTTCCTGAACAAATGCTTACAAAAAGTTAGCTATCGACCACCACCTCTACAATCATGCGAACGCCACAATTTGCAAGCAGCAAAAATGATTCTTATAAACAGAGCAACTTTCATATAGGTACAAGATATGAAAACGAAGTGAAACAGACCTGGTACGAAGTTGGGCTTGTGGAAGCGGCATATTCTGCATTAATTCGAACTTATCGTTTCCCATTAGGTATTTGGTACGCTCCATATGATCAACATGTGTGCGTAACAATGCGTTGTACCTATAAATCAATTTGGACTAGGACAGGATACCACAGGTAATAAAATGTTGAGCCTCGATTGTTATTCACCATTTATGCAGAACCGTCCAAATTTACATCAATATAAGATCCGCCGGTGCTCTTTGTAAACCACAGACTTGGAGATAACCATCTTTATTCAAAATATATGCGAGGTAACCATATCGCCCCATCTAGTACAAATTCTAACTTGGTAGTAATCTAGCCTCATTCACTTTTTTATTGAAGATTTTTCCTTCACTTTTGCTTTGAAAAGCTCAGAAACGTTCATTTCAACTATTAAACGACCACAATCACACTCTTCTCACAGTGTCCCATAAGGCCGGTGTCATGCCTTGCGAATCCCACAACTCGCTAGCGAGCCGTAGGAATAATGATGCACCAACGGTTCGAGCTATGCACCAGCAAATCGAACTGTTTACCAACTTCTCGGCAGTGTTTGGAATAGCGACCCTTCTCGCTCACTCACACCATGCCAGTTTGGGAAAGGGATAGAGCAAACGTGCGAACAAGAGGGTCTCCCATCACACTGTCTTCGATCAATACAGCGCGAGTTGCTGGTTGCGCATCCTACGATTCGGCCAGTCAATAGTTCGGGCCGCAGGTACAACCCGTGCGGCTATTGTAAGGCTTCGTACTCCGCATCGCTGGTCTCGCCGCAAAGTACAACAACGGCCTTGCAGTTTGTGCTTCCTCGTCTTTACTTGTAGTACAGCGAATTGCAACGACCCTTGCACAGTTTGAACTTCGTAAGCATTTGAACAACTAACTTACAAAGCATAAACATTTATGCCTCCGATCCCTTTTCTCATGAGTCTTTTACTATTTTATACTGTATTTTAGCAGCCACAAATGGTGTGGAGAACGAACTCACATCACTGTTCAGCGCGCAAGGTACTGCTTCTATAAGACACAAATATGATCAAGACACACATACCTTTCTGCAACGATCGAACTCCGACCTTCGATACAGCTTCGCCGCATCCCTCCAAGCCGAGATCTGAAAACGGTGATTTAACCGATTAATGAATCAACTTTGTTAGAAATCTACTAAAGTTTCTCTACGAACAAGGAAATGAACGACAAAAATTGGCATAAGCCATGATTCAGAGCATTCTTCGCTTCCACTTCAAGCATTCTCATGATGGATCAATGAGATTCGATTTTCGCTTCCAACTCTTTGTTCTGACCAATGAGGTTGTCCTCGATTTCCATGTACTTCTGCAAAAATAAAGAAAATTATATAGTAAATCAAAGTGTTGGTGATCAAAAGAAGAATCACCAGAAGATAACAAAAATACCTGTTCAGCCTGCTTTCGCAACTGTTTTTCTCTCTCATCATTGAGTGACAAGCTGTTCATTATCCTCCTTGAGCATTTCTTGATCAACCGCTGCCTCTTCTCGCTCAAGAAAAGCAAGATCTAGAGCTTCAAGCACATTCACGACCAGAGGCATCAATGTCTGCAATAGTGAGTTCAAGAAAAAATCGACAAGCTTGTTTATCCCGAAGAGAAATCTAAAAATTGGATTTCCTATTACCTTGACTCCATCTTCGCCATATTTTTGAATCATGAGTTCAAATTCTCGGTAAATTGCTGATGCCATATTTTTGGACCTTCTCTGACATATTACGGTGTTCGTCACCGGTGGGTGAGATTGTACCTCCGTAAACGACCTAAACAAGCAAGCTTTACCTTACACATCACACTGACTAACAGAAAATCTCACTAGCTGTAAAAAAGCACACGTAAGGGTTTTGACTTACCAATTTATAAGTATATCTCCACAACCTTTATTTCCACCATTTTAATTATTTATCGTTGATGTAACAGCTCTCAGCTGACACAAAACCCTATGTCTACCAAAGTCTCTCCTCATTCTTTCAGAAACACTTCTATTGGAGAGAAAAGGAAACACGATATCCATTTTCACAGACTTGTCATAAAGGTATTCACTGAGGCTAATGAATCGCATCTAGTGGGTGTCCAATATTCGGACAAGTTGATAATGTTAACCCACCAGTTGTACCAGCTACCTACAATCATAGGAGAAGGTCGGCATGTGATGTGTTGTGCTAAGATCCCTAAAGGTGACCTCTGACCATTGATTCTATGCAGCCATGCATCCGGTCCCCGGTGTTCAAAGAACAATGCCGCGCTCCCCTTCGCAGAACAGCAAAGTGTGAGAACACTTGAGATTGGATTGTCAAAGCAGTCTGTTCTGGGAGATGTTTTCTGATCGGCTCACAGATACACACGTATAGAAATGTGTAATTCACGGGAAAGCTATTAGAGAACATCTTCTGGCTGAATGAAAAACAGCAAAAAAGACAGTGGACCACGGGCGGACAGCCTTATCAGATCGGAACAGGCTGATAGGAAGCGTTATTTTGGTAGAATGTGATGGAGTTTGTCCTCAGCGGAGCGCGGAATGTGGAACTTTTATCAACGCATTTTCTACCTGGCCTAGGCTCTGACGTGTAGGAAGACGACCACGAATGGAGCGGATGATATTTCATGATACGTCACTGACAGGCTTAGATTATTTCGCCCCGACACCACAATACTTCTACAAAACGTCCTTTAGCTGTCAGTGACCGTCCTTCCCATGCTTAAAGTTCCTTTTCCAGCCCAATTTCTTCAAAAGCTCAGAATGCACGACATCCCACCGTGATGCAGTAAGCTACAGAAACTCCGAGTTTTTAAAAAAGAGATCCTGGACTCCAAAACGCTGGGAACCCTTTAGATATTTGAAAATGTTGAAAACAAAGCAGATGTACAAAAAAATGGGATGTACTAGTAACCATTTACCTCGGTCGGTGAGCCGCTTCCAACGGAGTCCTGCAATTCATTCACTGTTTGTAACGCAGACATTGTGTTGTGAACGGGGAGTTATTTGCAGCAACTTTCTGCTGCAATATGCATCTGAAAAGAAAGTTATAAGTCAATGCCTGCTCCAACAGGACACAAGGACGACTCCTGCTTCCCTGAAAAGTGATAGAACGAAAAGCTGGACATGTGCTCATGGATGAAGATTCACTTCATGATTACATTTCATTCTTATTTCTCAAAAAAAATATTGAGAAGCAACCCGTAACCAGCAACCCAGCCAACAGTAAAGAACTTGAAGCAGGACAAGGGTGGAAATTTGCTCAATTTCTTTGATTTGGACTTTAACAAATTCTCCTGGAACATTTCTAAGCAAACTGGCAGAGCAGGAGATGTACGACCAAAGAATTGCATGACGCTGGCACTCAACAC